GGTGCGACTACCACGAGTCCAGCACTCACAACACTGCTGACTGCATGACTCTGAAGAAGCTCAAGGCCAAGTCTCAGTCCTCGTCTGACAACGATAACAAGCCAGCGTACAACAAGAACAAGACTTGGAAACGCAAGTCCGACGACGCCAAGACCTACACCAAGAAGGAACTCTCTGTCCTCATGAAGAAGGTTTCCAACGCTGCGGTCAAGGCTGATCGCAAGAAGAAAAGCGAATGCAACCATGTTGCCAAGCGCAAGTCAGACACTCCGACAACGAGGAGACTCCTCTGTTGGATCCATCAACATGATGGACAAGAAAATGGCTGCCGTTGACAGGCGCTTGCCGAATTCGACTCAATCATTCGGATGGAGAGATCTCCGTCTGAGGATTAGGCAGGATGATGATTCAAGAACCATGTTCCGATTTCTCATACTAAGTGATGAAGATATCTCACTAAATAGTAAACAAGATTTGTTTGCAACTAATGAAGTCTACGGCAAATTAATAATTGCCTAGCAACTACTCAATAGACTCTGACGATCTGTTCAGCATCGTTAACTTCGTCCATGGCCAATCAACTCATCAACGTCGCAAGACAAGAGACCTCAAAACTATCGTCTATGTTAGATTTAACAGACAGAGAAAGGGAAACAAAACCGTTACACTCTGTTGCTTATGGATACAGGAGCATCCGAAACTTAATTACTCAAACTCATGCTAAGAGTTTACTCATGAAGAATCATGGGGCGTCCAAACATTACGGATTGCTTCTGTAAAAGAATGAAACCCCGCACGAAGTGTAAGGGCACACTCATGATTCCGAGTTCCGCGATAGTAGAATTATCGAATGGATTTTACACGTCACCAAGAACTTGGGGGCGCATGACATGATCATAGGTCAAGACACTCTCTCCGACCTAAGAATCAAGTTTGATTTCACTACCATGTCAATGGATGGAACAGCATATTTTTCCTGCGAAAGATGGCAATACCGATGGAGAAGAGAACTTCTCCATTCCTGATCCTGCAGCGTCAACGACAGTGCAGATAGTCTCAAGAAGATTCTTGATGCGACATACGAACAAACTGACTTAAGGCAGATGTGCCAGAGTCGAAACAGTTAAATAAGGAAGAGCAAGAACTGCCTCATGCCTTCTCAACCAAGTGCTCCGACCCAGTCGAGGGTACTTTGGGAGAGTTGCAATGGACGACTACGAAGTAGAACTTCTCCCGACGCTAAATCCTATTATACTAGGGCTCACCCTACTCCACGTGTCCATACCAACACTCTCAAGACAGAGGTTGAACGTTTCTGCAGGCAGGAGTACTTAAAGAGATAAACTGTTCCGAGTGGACGGCACCAACTTTTTATCATTCCCAAGAAAGACGGATCTGTACGATTCATCTCTGAATTCGGGAACTGAACAAAAGGATTAAGCGGAAGCCTTATTCTATCCCAAAAATACAGGCACATGCTCTTGAATCTAGATGGATTCAAGTACGCTACTAGTCTAGACCTGAACATGGGACTATCACATCGAGCTGTCACCTCACTCGAAGAACTCTGTACCATCGTACCCCGAGGGGAAAGCACGAGTACCAGAGTTGCCAATGGGCCTATGTAATAGTCCCGACATCCTCAAAGGAAGATGAAAACACACATGCATGACTTAGAAAATGTCCGTGCATACGTTGATGATCAACTCATCCTAACTGACAACGATCTAGTTGATCACGTTGAATAGTTAGATGAATCTTTCCAAAGACTTCAAAAAAAAGTCGGATTTAAAATCAACACTACCAAGGCCTTCCTCGAAAGAAGGAACTTAAGTATCTAGACCATTGGATTACTCGAGAAGGAGTCCAACCCTTAACTAAAGGACAATAGATGCGATCCAGCTATCGCTCCTCCTACGAATAGGAAGGAACTTCGTGGATTCATTGGACCAATGAACCACCAACCATCGTTCTAAAACAGACGTAGGTTACCCAGTATCCATGACCGGCTGAGGTTGTCATGGACAGAGAACGTGAGTCCCGCGCAGAGGTCGAGAAGACTCTCCAGGATGAACATGGACTTCGTCGCAAGTTCACGCGCGTCAACCGTGACAAGATTCACAACATCCGTTTCGAAGCAAACTGGAAATACATCAAGGAACGTCGCCAACGACTTATCCAGAAAAACAACGATAGGGAGAACGCGACACGTGTCCCTCATCAACACAATGTCAACGATACTATGATGATTCATCAGTATCAGCACCGCAAATACGGTCAGCCAAAGCACAAAGGTCCTTACCACACAGACCGAGTCAATAACAATGGCACTGTACGGCTCCGACATGCTACCGCCAATAGCGGCACAGTCTACCAGACTTGGAACATAAGGTATTTACACCCATACAAGGCCTGATCCCCTTGTAGGATTGCCATCGTGCGACGCACATGTCTACATCCAATCTCCGGAGAGTGCCCCGCACTTTAATTCATATGTTCTCCTTGTCCGACTGATGTCGTGCCTTCCGTGACCCTTGTCAGGGGGCGAATGCAATACACGGCTCTTAGCCTTATTCGCGACTCGATCCTAGATAGGGTTTGAGTTCGACTCATGACTGAGTCTTTCGTGAATAGTCATTGAGACAGGGTTCTCATGACCGCTAGTCATACTAGGTCGATGGTGAAACATCGCGCTAGATATTTAGCTGGCGTGGAGAGATTCCACGCTACTAGATAAATGCTAGACGAATCTTCCACGCGTTCCGTTTTTGGATCGTGGAGTGAGTAGGATTGCTACCGCAACCTACTCTATCACACTTTACAGTCTCCCGCGGGAGTTCAGATCTACGATCCATTGATTATGGATCTCTCTCGTTGATTAGTTTTCATAGCTTTCTAATCCTCTCATAACTTTCATTCTCTCAAACTCAAAACACTCGAAAGATCTTTACACTAGCTTTTAGCGTAGTGCACAGGAGTTGCAGCTTTGCACATTCGAGAGACTAACTTGGATACCAAATCTGTTGTTGCGTACATCGACAAGCCCTTGATGGTGGAAGCTGGCGTGCGATATTACAGTGTTGACGAATTGCTCTTATCACATCTCGAGATGCAGGAGGATGGTGGCATGTGTGATGGCTACAAGAAGCTTTGCATTCGTCCGCTTCAAAAGCATCTCTCCAAGAAGCTGGTGGCTCTTTTCCCGGAGGATCGATTTTTTGACTTCAGTGTCCCGTTAAGATCAGCATATGGTGTTATTGCTAAGTCATGCAAAGGCCAGACATCTGAGAAAGTAAAGCTGACAATGGAGTGGTTGGAAGCTGCTAAAGCGCAAAGTTGAAGGGCTCCGTTCCCCCGTTCTGCCTTCCCGACAAACTCTTTGGGCCAGATCTTGTTTGCTTGATGTGGAATAAAACACACAAAGAGTACAGGGTTGTTGTGTGCCAGTCAAAGTACTGTATGGTTCAGTCACAGCCAAAGGCACTAGGCACACTGGTTCCCAATTGGCTTTACCACCACAAGCGTGGGAAACCAGAGATGCGACTGTCATTGACAGAGGAAGAACTACTGAGAATGGGCATCGCTCGAGAAAATGTTTCTGAATCAATCCATTGTCCGTGTCTTAATGGAGTATCCGGTGCTTGCGACCAAAGCGTCTACACCTGGCAAGGGACTGCAGAAGGACTCAAGCACACTGGCCCAGCTTTGCAACAGTCAACACACGCCCGCTTTGCAGACCGATTGGTTGTACACAATTCACGGCGGAAACGCAAAGGTCTTTTTTTCAAAGGATGTCCTTGATGTGTTGAACCATCGCAAGGAAAAGCCATTGCAGAGTGACAACTCTGCAAAACATCAACGCACATGCGACTCGTAGATGTGCTGGGTTGCTCGCAAAGAGCCTCACACCGATTCGTTCAATTCAAGGCTAGTCCCTCGGAGACTAGCAAAGAGGGTTCTACTGCACTGTACTGTAGAACATTGCTGAGACGTGTTGGGGCATCATGCGAGCCATTGATGCCTGGATTGGGAGGGACGAGTGTCATGAGCTCTGGTTCTATGTTAAGCGATGTGTTGAAGAGTGTGACTCGGGAGTCACACTTCAGGAATTCCTTGCGGCTGAAACTAATTATATAAATAATTAATTATTATCCTAAAGTCACTCCCGACAAGAATAACAACATTCCAATCAGGAGTCATCATTCCACCATTTGCTGCAAGTCTCGCAGAAGTCTTGACCACAATCGTTGCATTTGGTGTTAAAGTTGTGTGTTTTCATGCGAATCCCTACGGGATTCCGTGGTTTCGCCTCAGCTGGTTCTGCTACTGGAGATGACAATGGTGCAGTGCAACTACAGCGCGTACTATGCACAACCATTCCTAGGCGCACCTAAATGTATTAGGCGCATTTGGAGTGTAACTCATGTGCTAGTACTACAATACTTATCAATCCTGTGGGAATGTGTAATCCCACTAGGGTTGAGGATGGCAGCTGCAAGAGAAGGGCCCTAAAAAGAAAAAGCGAAGCACACCATTGTGGTGTGGTAATTGGTTAGCAACCAACAGTAGATGGTTTTGCCCATAAGGCAACACCATGGCCATTTGCAGATCCATCAACAACCAAAGTGTGGTCTTTGGTTGCCTGGGTCTACCATCTGCCAGCTCTGAGTTGAGCGGATGGTGTCAGATTCCAGACTGACCAGGCAACTGGGACTCATCCCCTTTGCTGGTTTGCCTGGAGTCTCACCTTCAAGAATCCCTACGGGATTCCCTGGTTCCGCCTCAGCTGGTTCTGCTACAGAAGATGACAATGGTGCAGTGCAACTACAGCGCGTACCTGATACTATGCACAACCATTCCTAGGCGTACCTAAATGTATTAGGCGCATTTGGAGTGTAACTCATGTGCTAGTAGCCAACGGAGAACGTACCGGTAGAGAGGTAGAAGTGTGCTCAAACGCTTGAACATGATCTAGCAAACAAGCGGTACCGGTACGCTGTACGACTGTACCGGTCGAAGGACGTTCGCGAATTCCACGCTTCGATAAACTTCCACGATATCAGCTGTTACCTGTCAGCTGCAAAAATCAACACGCGTCGTTCGAGACGTTCCGGCTTCGCATCTATCTTTGTTGTTGTTTCGACAAACCCAGCCAGATTGCCAGAGTACTTGTTTGAAGACACAAAAAATGAGGAAAGCATATCCATGCAGTATTAGCACAGCCCTGCTCAACCCACCATGGCCCCCATATTTCCAGTTGGAATAGTCGTTGCCTTGATTGCAGTCATGACGGTGCGACATCAAAATGTATTACAGCAGCAACAAAAGGATACCAGCGACAGCAAGGGTATCCAAGAGAACAGCAGAGGTGCATTAGAAAAAGCCCGCAAGATCCAACCTCCGACAATCAGTCTCATGGAGGGTGGAGAATATGAACATGGCGAATTTTGGGGCGAGCAAGATGCTGTTATCAAGGCTGCTTGGGAAGAATGGTGGAATCAACAAGAGACAAGCTTACCCAATCTATTGAAGGCCAAAAATGAAATGATGGACTCTGCTTTGGTAAGAGCTGTCCAACAAGTGCGTCAAAATCCCACCGAAGAAAATGAGGACCAGCTGCAAAAATTATTCCAACCAATTGTTGCCAATCAAGTCTACCAAATTCCACTGTTGACTCCCCGTGGAGTGCAATTGGTGCGACAACATTTGGATGTGGCTTCCTACTACTACAATGACCGCAAGCACCACAACAACAATCAGACACAAGACAACAATAGCAGTCCAGTGGAAAAAGCTGGAATTCCAACCCGTCGTCCCAATGGCATGAATCGCTATGGCATCATTATTGATCCCAGTATTGAAGGAGCCGTTTCCTATGCAGAAATCAACAAATGGATGCAAGAGTTGGTGGATGAATTTGTCCGGCCTCTCAGTCGCATGCTTTTTCCCCAATTGACTTCTCGGAACCATCCTGAAGATGACTGTGAATCCTATGCTTTTACCATTCGGTATCATCCAGAGGAAGATATGGAACTCAAAGAACACTCGGATGCTTCTGTCTACACCATCAACATCAATCTGAATCTTGTTCCAGAAAAGAATGGCTCATCGTTGGATACTACTACTGTGCAAAACAGTAATGAACACAGTACCACACATCACGATCAATCTACATCTACTACTACTGAGCAGTATGAAGGATCCTCTCTATACTTTGTGGATCCAGTCACAGAATCCCAACAACATGTTTCATTTTCTCCAGGAATGGCTGTCCTCCATCGTGGATTGATACGACATGCTGCCTTGCCTATTGAGGAGGGAGAACGGCATAATCTTGTCATTTGGTTGTTTGGACAACATGGTTATGTCCGTTTTGGAGAGTATCCCAAATTGGAACGGTTGACAGTGGCAGAGCGGTGGGCATGAGCAAAATCTTTGTTTGTAATAAATGATTCATGTGCGATGTACTCAGTAGCGGTGGGAGTGGCCAAGGGAAATTGCAAGCGTAGTCTTTAAAAAATAAAAGAAACACTCAATTGCTGTGTATTTGCTCAAGTGACAATGTCATGGTGTCAGCCAGAGATTAGTTTTTGCATTTTCACGATGGACAGTGGCATATGCTGGTGTCCCAAAAAGCAGGTTCAATTTTAGTAATTGTTATCAAGGTACCAAGGTAGCTGGGATTTCATTAGCATAAGAAAAGGTGCCAGTAGGTCCAGCTACCGCCAACTGGAGGGCAAGGAGTTCCTGCGGTTCCGTAACCTGCCTGCTGCGATACCGGTGGTGAGCTTTTGTACTGCTGCCATTCCTTTGCTTTCGGGGTGCTTGTGGCTGTTCCTACCGCCAGAAGCACGTTCTATTAACCAGCAGAGTTGTCATTCACGGTCCGTCATTGGAGTCATTCGGAAGTGTCACTGACGGAGTGAGAAAGCTGACGACCAATCAATGATTCATTGGATCTTCGGGAAGATCGAGGAGCCCATCACGACCCCATGTCGCGGAAATTGCATTCGCTTCCACTTTCCTTTGCCTTCTCATAACCAACACTCTTAGATCTTTGTTGCCACAAATAAGAATCCTTCAATCAAACCACTTGTCCTTCCTCAGTTAGCCTTCCTTTTGTGCCTCGATTATTAATCCAAAATGTTTGCATCTGCTTCTCGAGCTACCGTGTCGATTGCTACCAAAATGAGTAAGGCTTCCTTTTCTTCCACCACCGCCGCAGCCTCCAAAAAGGTTGCCGTCTTGGGCGCTGCCGGAGGAATTGGTCAACCTCTCAGTATGCTTCTCAAATTGAGTCCTCATGTGGGTGAATTGAGCTGCTATGATATTGTGGGAACTCCTGGTGTGGCTGCCGATTTGAGTCATATTCCGACTCCTGCCAAAATCAGCGGTGACTTGCCAGCAGCTGGCAGTTGGCCTCCCAAGGGCAATGATGGAATTGCCAGGGCTTTGACTGGATGCGATGTGGTGGTCATTCCCGCTGGTGTGCCAAGAAAGCCAGGAATGACTCGTGATGATTTGTTCAATGTGAGTCTTTGTTTGATCCAAAACAAAATACTATGTTTCTATTTATTGGGTAGCAGTCATTTTGGGCATGCACAATTAATTTTGGTTTCATTTCTTATGAAATGCTCAAACTAACATTATTTTCTCAAAAATCAGACTAATGCAGGTGGGTATTCTCTCTTTTGGCATTGCTTTTGAATTATTTTTGGTTCTGTGGAGCCTTTGGGACCTTGGAAGCCCAGAAATTCATTGCTGCAATGAAAAACAACTAAACTTCGTTTTTCCTTGTTTTGTGTGTCTTTCTACCAAAAGGAATTGTCAAGGGACTTGTGGAGTCATGTGCCGAACATTGTCCTGGAGCCATTTTGGCCATTATTTCCAACCCTGTCAATTCCACAGTCCCCATTGCCGCCGAAGTTTTGAAGGCCAGGGGCGTCTATGATCCCAAAAAACTCTGCGGTGTCACCACTTTGGATGTCTGCCGTGCCAATACGTTTGTAGGAGAAGCCTTGGGCAAGGACCCACGCGAAGTGGATGTCACCGTCATTGGAGGACACGCCGGAATCACCATTTTGCCACTCTTTAGCCAAGTTCCTGGATTCATGGATGCCGTGGATGAAAAGAAAATGGATGCTCTCACGGTCCGAACCCAATTTGGAGGAGATGAAGTGGTCAAAGCCAAGGCTGGCGCTGGAAGTGCCACTTTGAGTATGGCATATGCTGGATACGTGTTCACCGAAAATGTCTTGAGGGCCATGGACGGAGAAGAAATCACTCAATGCGCCTTTGTGGAATCCACCCTCACGGATGCTCCCTACTTTGCTAGTCCTTGCAAGTTCGGACCTGACGGTGTCACGGAAGTGTTGGGATACGGCGAGCTTACTGCATACGAAAAGGGATGGTTCGACAAGATGTTGCCCGACTTGAAGAAGCAAATCCAGAAGGGAATCGATTTTGCTAACAACTAATTTAGTAGCGGAGAGGAGATATATTTATGTAAAAATGAAGAAGGAATGATAATAATAAGTTGGCTCCCTTTTCGCAACTGACTTCATCAAAGCCTAACACACTGATTTTGTCTTTTTTGGACCAGTTGTTGAATGGCTAGAACCAGTAAAATGCTATCATAGGTAATGGCTATCATTCTTCAAAGTTCGAAGGCTGTAGGAATGGCTTCCTTGAGATGGGTTGGACAAAGACCGCGCCGTCAATGACGCTGAGTTTCTATTTGGTGCATCAACTTCCAAGTTGGCTAAACTTGAAGAGCCAGAGGCTCCTGAAAAAGCGCTTCGAGAAGTTGAAATTGCGTAGAATCCAGTCCCGCTAGTGACTGACGCAGGGTGGTCACAAGGTGTTCCACAAAGATCCACGAAACCTGCACCATTGCGAAACTCCACATCATTGCTTCCAGCGTCAGCTTTTGTTCCTGCAGGCATAGGAGGTTCTTTCTTCCAGCTCATAATAATCTTTCTCGGCCCCAAAGCAACAGGGAAAGATGGCAGATATTGGTTCCGACAATCTTCCGTCTTTGGCGACATCAAGTCCCCCAGACACTGATAATGATCCTACTAAAGGCACCCAAGACGTCAAACCCAACCGCTACAGTTCCAACCTCATCGCACGTCAGCAACGAATTCATGCTTTCAAAGTGGGCCTCGGCGTGCTGATTTCCCTTCAGTTCGTCCTGATAGAGCCCGTTGACACCTATTTCCAGCAAACGGGTGTCTGGGCTGGTAAGTGCCAGAGATCAGGAGATCAGCTATTGTGTAGCCTACACCATCTTAAAGTTCCTTCCTGTTCTTTAGTCATCACTACGGCGATAGTCATTTTGCCAACACCCGGAGAAACTAACCAAAAGATGATCAACCGAACAATTGGAACGGTTGTGGCGGCGGCTCTGTCTATCTTGTTGGGCATAGCGTGCAGTGAGCTTTCCAACGTACTTTATCCTCTTGGTCACATTTTGAATGCTATGGTCAACTTTGCCGTTTGCGTGGCAGGCACTTACATGGCCGACAAAGGTGGCACCTGGTCTTATGCGTACCTCTTGGGTTTCATCACATTTGTGTTTTTATCTGCGTCGATCCTTGTGGATGATGATGTTTGGGTTGGCGTCTTTCGAGCCGTCATGATTGGAATTGGAGGCATCATTGGACTCCTAGTGTCCTGGCTGCCGCCCACTTTATCTGCAACCGCCCTGGCAAAGGCATACTTGGCAGATGCAATACTAGATACCTCGCTTGCAGCTGAGGCTGTCATGGAGACCTTTTTCAAAGGAAGGAAACTGATTCCTATACACCTCATCACAGAGCCCGAGGATGATGACGCCTTTCACATACTGTCTGTTGCCGTCCAAGTGTCCCGTGTTCCTCTGGAAGCCGCTCTTCAAGCGAGCGCCTTTGAGGGGACACGCGACAGTCAAGTCAAGTCTATGCGACTTTCCGGTTTGGCAGTGCGATTGACATTGAGATCACTGTTGGCAGCCGATGTTCTGCTACGTCAAGACTACCAACCATTGGATCCTTCCGTTCCAGCGGAAGCCCAATTGACACTGAGCTTGAAAGAGGTCGTTTCCTCCATCCATGCCACCATGCTGTCCCATGAAATGGTTGATTTCAATGCGCTGACTGTGTCGGTGGACAAAGAGCAATCATGCTCTGTCAGCGACATGCCTCTTTCGGAGGCATTGATTCAATTGGAGACGTCACTGGCAGAATACGCCCTTGTCAGGACTGAGAATCGCTGTAATGGCGAGTGTCAGACAATGCAGAGCTTTGCTTGCCATGTTGCTTTTGCAAGAAACATTCACGATGCTGGATCACACTTTCTTCAGGTTTTGCCTCACCTGTTGGCAGGTGATATTGGTTCCACAAGTCACGGGTCGTCTTTGGACCTATGATCGATTACCCGTACAGTAGAGGAAAGGTGTAGCAGTACTCTAATGTTGGCCACCTAGATCCCACATGTACATCTCACCTGTTAAAATCAGTAACGCTCACAGCCAAGGAGGAGACTGACTAGTAGACCATTTCAGACTAGGAGCTTATTCTGTTGTCACATGGCTCTCATGAGGTTTCGCCATGTAGTTCGAGACGTCATACCCCTTGGCCGTGGACAACAGAATCGATCCATCCGCTAGATGTGCTTTGGCCCACCAAGGAGTTTCATGAGGTGTCCCATCCTGGTCGGGCAACCAATCCCCGTCTGCAAGGTAGCCAACAGAAGGAGCACAAGACGAGGATTCTAGCAAGTTTTCCGTCTCATAGGCTGTCCCATCGCAAAGGACGCCGTGCCATCTGACATCCTGCAACCGTCCCTCGCTGTCAATTGTCACGAGTGTTTCGGCGACGGCAACATCCCCGCGAAATCCAGGGCCGCGACCTCTCCCCAAGTTTTGTCTATCTTGATTGACCCAGTTTGTATCTCCCGAGTAGCTCGTGTCACAACAAAGTACCCACCCTAGTACCGGTAGTCGTTGCTCGTCATTATCACTCCCGCTGCTATGATCACGACTTGTTGATTGCGACTCTTCAAAGATTCGGATTGGTAAAGGCATGTCCCCCTGAGGCTGATGTCCCGACAAGATCAGCTTGATGTTGGACTGCCGAAAGAACTCTCGGACAAGACGAGCAAACAACAAGTCCTCTTGGTTGTTGCTGTCTGGAACGAATCGCAGAGGCATTCCATCCACGGCCCAACTCGAGTACACGACGGTGGGATTGCGTTTTCCATCGGGAGTCCATCCCATTCCATACTGTGTCAGTTTGTAGGCTGGAAACTTGTTGGAATATTCACCATTGGTAGCCCAGACGCTGCCTTTCTCTGGCGGATCATTGTCGGCTTCCTGTTGCCAAGCGTCAATGGATTCCCGGGCAAACTGGTTCAGAGCATCCACCCAATCGTGGATTGCTTTCTTGGCTGTAGTAATACTCGATGATGGTGATGCTTCTTGGCTCCCCGACTCGCTTGTCCATGGCATGGCAAAGGACAGGTCCTTCCAACAATCAGCTGATTGTTGGTTGTGGCTTGATTCTGCTTCTTCTTTCATGATCTGCTGTTGCAATACTGGATTCGTCAGTGGCAAGGCCCCGTGTACCACAAAGAGTTCCCCCAGGCTAAAGGCCAGAGTGGCATTGGCCAGATAGTTTCCCATTTCTCCCGTGACGGGGTGACAGCTCTCTCGATACGACTGGACCACATCTCGGTCGCTGATTGTCGTGTTGTCGTCGTTGTCTTGTGCAAATTGTCGCTCTCGCTGCAACTCCAATCGACGTGATTCGAATGCATTCGGACTTCCCATGGTCCGTCCCAACAAGAATTGCAGTCGTTCGGATGCACTGGTTTGTGACGGTACAATATCTGACTCGTCGCCTGCATTGGTCGATTGAACGTGATTTCGCAACCAGTAGACTCCGTCATGTGGTGGTAGATTGTCGTCTCTTCCCATTTCTTGGTGTATTCTCATTTTATTAATATCTCGATTGCCCATGATCAAATGCACGCGGTCGGGATACCGTCGTTTGAAATCCAAGAGTTGTCGAATGACGTAGAGATCCGATCCTC